CCTCGTGACAATTACTCTAACCTTTAAAGACGACTGTTTCTCGAACTGGTGTCCGAAATTTCATAACGATTGTGAAATTTCCACAATCTAATCTACTCGCTACTTCGCTGTGGAATCATCAGCTCTCTCAGAGGGACTTGTAGGATCTTGATTAATTGTCGTTAAGTCAGTTGATTCTGTTTCAGATTGATGTATATTATTTTTAAGTTTCAAGTGATCCTCTCTTTCTTGGGTGTAAAATGTGAGGTACAAATATAAATCTACAATTTCATAATATTTATAGTGTAATATCAGTACCCTCTCTTCATAGGGACGAAAAATTTCAGCACTTGAGGAATTTTCGAGTTCATATCATCTTCGGGGCACATGCATGAGGAATGATGAACTCAAGGCCTTTGGTGAAAGGAGTTTTGAGTGAGGATGATTAGTGCGTGTATCTTTCTGTACAGTGAGTACAGAAGACATGCTTCGGATTTTCAAGCAAGATCCATATGCAATGTGCTGGTGAAGATTTTAAAGCTCAAGCGTCCCTTGACAAGGGCCCAACCACAGAACAGAAGCAAGCATGTTCGAACTTTCACCACAGTTCATGTCATTTATTCAATCCATCGCAATTCATAGTCAAGCGGCTTTGATTGAGTCAAGTAGACTCCGCTTCACTCAAATGTCCTATCAATGTCAATCACGATGAATTCTCTCAATGGCGCTCTGAATCTCCTTGAAAAAGCTCATCATTCTAGCAAATTCTGTCCGCCCATTGTGTTCTTCGGCATTCGATTTCAAATTGGGTTCATCATATTTTCTTGGTATGTGTGAGGAGAAATTTCATTCATACACCATCTACAGGTACATTCAGTTGAGATCGGAGTCTAGCCTCCATCCATTCCGCTGTCACAGAGCTTCAATCTTCCTCCTCGTCTTACTTCGTTTGTTACAAAGGAAACCAGCTCAGTCATCGAAGACATTGAGCCATCAGCTGATATTCCAAAGCCTGCTAAGGTATATGACATATTCCTGACAGGTGGGTGTGAAGAGCATAACTACGCAATACATCTTTTATTTCGAGTGGCAAGGTGGACCCTCGTATTTTAATGTTTCACTGTAGATTTCCAACTGAATTCGTCAGGATGATCATGAGTCATCACAACCAACGGTGCTCTAGTTGCTTTCGTGTGATCATACCAGCAACATTCATGATCATCATGCTTTGACACTGTCTCGACATAAAATCAAAGCTGATCAGTGCTTATCTGTGCTCAGCTATAGACGAAACCATCGCTGCTAGACATTAATTCCCATGTGATGAAGGATTTACCAGCTGATTTACAAACACTTGTGTTGCAAGTCACAAAGTTGTTTTCTGATTCACTGTTCCGAACATGATGATAATTAATTTCAAAACACCAACTAAACTAAAAAGGTAATTGTTCAAACCACAAGGTGGTCTCGACTGTTGTATGCTCAAGGATTTTTTATCAATGCAGAACCTAGTTGTAAGGAGTATTTCTCAGTTTCTACTTTTCAGGAGCTTCTGAATTCCTTCGACATTTGGAAACTTTAAAAAAACAAGATTCGCCCCGTCAACAAAGAACTCTTTTTCCTAGAAACACATATTGAAACTTTAAAACATCTCAAAAATGCTGAAATAGGCATTGACAGGGGAATATCAATTTCATCAGTGCATTTCAAGCGATTTCAATTTAAGCTCCAGAAGGTAAGTTATAGTTAGTTTGAACGAGTTTTCGTTTTCGTGATGACTCGTGAAATATATTGCAGGACTTTGAGATGATCTCTCTTCTTTGTTTTACAATCGAGCGAACATATTTAATTAACTTGTTGCATGAACTGTGAAGTAGTACCTGAAGTTATGAATTCATGCTTTTGACGTCAGAATAGAAAGAAGCTTGCTAGATTTTCTTTCGACCATGGCCAACATTTAAGTCATGTTCATTATAAAGGACTAAACTTGAGTTCTTTCCAGCAACTGACTCATCTTTGGATAATCCAAATGAGATCGTATTTGTCCAAGATTTGCATAAAATAATCCTTCCAGAAAACAAGAGCTTGCAAGTGTCGTACTTTTTAACGAGGTCGATGTATAGCGCCAAGACTTATTTCCATGACATGGAAATTCTTCAAATTCCTTTCAGAAACGTTTAAAGTACAGAATCTGGGAAAATTCCGCGCCACGTGTAAAAACAAATTCTGAGCTTTTCATCAACTTCTATGCACCATAGATTTGAACCCCACTAAATCCTTGATTGTCCATGGCCACTGTATGCGTGCATGAAATTACATTCTATCCAGCAGGGAACACTGAACTGTACAATGTGGAGAAAGCGAGGCAAAAAGGAACATCTGACAGTAACAGACGTGGACAGCGATCGAGAATACAGCAGAATCACCAAACAAACCCCGATGCAGCGAGTCGATGTTCTTAGCTGCATGCGCTCTTGCTCTTGCTCTTGCTTACGAGACAAGGAAGAGCGAGACTATCTTCATTTAGTTGCTGTCAACGTCGAGCTCGAGCTCGAGCTCGCGTCTTCGAAGAAGCTCAGCATAAATCATAAAGGTTAGCGAATCTAATGACTAACGATCTGACAATCGAAGACGCCCATGCCCGCACTCACTCGATCTAAAACCGTTACGCATTCTGAGAAGTCAGCCTGAACGATGGTTTGTGTTCACGGCCTTCGGTCCAGAGAGGAAAACAACGATGTCATAAGATAATGCTGCAACTTTGTCAGCGGCCGCAGCCACGTACAAAATCCATGAGATCGTACTGATAATATTCTCCCATGTCACATCCGAGTGAAAGTATTACCATCAGGTAAACGCTCGCCCCAGGCCTCAGACTCAAACACAGAGTTTAGTCTCCGTCCTGCTCTTGCGGGGGAGACGCCTTTTTCAGTCATCCCAATGCTGCAGAATACATTAAAATACAGAATACAAGAAAATCGGACGCCGACCAGAACGACTCCGTGCGAGATAAACGAGTGAGTTTGCACAGTCCAATTAAGGCGAAAATATCAGCTGTCGGGAAATTCCACCTTTCTTAGACATTCGAAGAATTTGAAGACCGAGAGGGAGAACGGAGACTCGGCATAGGCCGACCACATTGAAGTGCAGTGCAGTGCAGAGCAGCGCAGGCCAGGGTGGCCTATTATTGCGTGCGAGATATAATCACGGGGCGCTCATCCGACTTCTTTTCATGTTAATGGAGACCATGTGCAGGCCTTAACAACAAATCGCTTTGCAGCTGGACTACGAGGCACAGTAGGCCATTATTATTTCCGGCTGGCGAGAGATCATGATTGCCCATCTTTACAATTCAAGTGATCGACGCGAGGGAGGGAGGGAGGGAGGGAGGGAGAAGAAGGCCGAAGTGGGGGCTTCGGCGCTGGACCTCTCGAGCATGCGCTGCACGTAAAGTCAACCCGTGAGTATCCGGAACTGTTACGTGTTCCTTGCCCTTCGACTGCACGCACGTCTTTCGAGACCATCACAGTGCTCCACGATACATGAATTTACTCTCGATCTGAGCTCCTACTCGAGACTCGCTTTCTCGCCACTGTTTGTCTTTGCATCGACCTAACTCTTCGGAATATGCCGAACTGAATCCTCGATTGGCACGTCGCCATTCTGCCTTGGGGGACGTCACGTTGTGCGTCCCAGTTTTCGCCACACAGATTTTCAGACCGATCAGAAAATCGAATGCATCCGAAGCTGGACATGCACAAATTTTTGACGATGATCGATCTAACAGATTGATGAACGGATCGATGCAGTTAGTTTTCAATGACTTCGGGGGGATTCGGATACAGTGCTGCTAGTGTGATCAAAATACCACTCATAACCGAGCACTGCTTGCCTTGTCAAAATCTTCAACTTCAATCCCTCAAAATCCACACGCAGGTTAAAACAGTACCCTCAAATTCTGCTAAAAGTTCGTTTAAGCTCTTCTAGTCCCACCCTACGGCAGATTGCTTCACCAATCCTTGTTCTCTTCCTACTCTGTAATTCTCGTCAACAATACTCCTCCCTTCTCCGGGCCGAATTCCGAGAAGGCCTAAACTACTGTAAAATTTTCTCGAACAAAATCACAATGATGGATATCAGATGTTAGTGGTTAGAGCTTGCATGTGAATGGCATTCGGCCACATTTGTAGAGTCTGAAAGTTTAAAGAACCTACCTTGTGACATGCGTTGGGAATCAGCCGAAAGCATACGATTCGCATCTCACATGCTTCGGGTGCTTCCTGGCTTCCACCATCTTTGAGCGACTGCTGTTCCGGCGCTCTCGTTTCATCTGACTGTAATTTTCGCACCATCGTTAAAAAAAGCCAATGTGCATGAGGGTCCAAGCAGCAGCCAATAAAAGCTCAAATTAAAGTCCAGCAGCAGACTGATTTTGGTCGAACCAGTGCAATGGACAATAAAGTTCTCATGGCCATGGGATTCAGATCACTCAGGACGACGAATGACTGGATGTAAAATAGTCCTGTGATGTTTCTTTCAGCTCGGATACATCTTAACTTTCGGAAACGAGCGCAGATTGGTACATGATCTGAGTACAGATGAAGTAGAAGCTCTCGAAAGACAAGGAGAGAATGAAAATCTACTCAAACATGTGAAGTGTAAGAATTGGCCTAGAATTGCGAGTTTCTGTCCAGATACTCGATGAATCTCAGACTGGTTGAGTCCCTGCTACTACCCCGAGCAGACACGTCGGCTCCCTACTCTTCCGGGGATATTGAACTCCATATTCAGTGATTCAATAACATGGCAGAGCTCTCTCAGGAGTAATCCAATAAATCCTCAAGAAGATTCACCGTATAAATTGCCATCGAGCTAGAAATTCGTACATTGCTCGAGTAAATGCACATCATTTCCGAAAGAGCGAACAGATCCGAGCAACGAGAGTCGGAAATTCGTATAACAAATGCTGAAATAACACTGAGCTGGCTCGAAGAATACATGTCTGATGTCTAATGTGAGGTCTACGTATCGTCGTGGTGCGAGGGCCTCTGATTCCAGAGGAAAGCTATGATGGAGTACAAGAGGAGAGCACTGGCGCATCCCGTGAACAAGAGCTCGACCCGGACGTAAATGTCGACCAGGGAGAGGCCGTACTTGGGGGAGAGGCGGTGGACAACGCATGCCAAGACGATGGACGAGCAGCCGCTAGCAAACAAGGCGGGCCAAGTCGTCAGCTTCCGTACTTGTAAGGAGATCCAGAGCTTCAACGATCCGTGGATCAGGAACCAAACTTCGATCATGTACGCCACTGCTGCGGGGCTTACTCTAGGCCTCCTGAGCATCCACACGCCGGTGGTCAAATGCAGCGTGGCGATGAGGAGAATGGCGTTGGAACCAGGAGCCTTGCGCACGCAAGAGAACTGCAGCAGTGCTAGAATTCCACTGAAGCTGAGCAGCCATGGCAGCAGATTCAGAGCCCCCTGTCCCGTGATGAATGGGATGAAGATGGAGACTGCTCCCACCAGATAAAAGAGGTAGTAAGCAGTGAAGCTGTGAAGCAGACTTTCCGGACTCTGGCCCGCGCACGAAGAAGCTGCAATGTCCCCGCATCCCTCACCGATTCGTATTTCTATGGGTGATTCCCCATGGAACGACACCACTCCTATTATCACCTCATGATCGCCCCCTGAGCATTTTTCCACCTTCTGCATCTTCGATCAGAAATTGCAGAATTTCGCCGAGGTATGTATATTTTCTAAAACTCGTCTTCCTTGGGGTTCTTCGAGCTAGGAGCCAAGGAGTGATCGATCGATCGATCCTCCTCGTTCCCCCAACTGGATTGTCAGGTGCATGGTCATTTTATCACTTTAGTAGCAGCCATGAACTGGACTGACTCTCAGAGAATATAAAACGCACGCATTCCTCATGGCCATAGATCTTCACGCAGCTTGCTTTTTCAGCCTCGCTACGCAACCTGCGAAATCATATGCACTTCGAAGCAGCAATAAGACAAATTTGATACATTCTCATTGACGTGAGCTTAGCAGTAGGCAGTAGTCTGACTTTAGAAACACACCTTAGAAACCCCAGGGATGTTATATCTGATGTAACTGAGCGAGACGGTGCATCTTGCTCTACGATTGCCATAACACTTGATTCTGATTCACGTCAATATGGAGGGACTGACCACCTATACCTTCCTACCTTCCTTCCATCATGGTGTTGCAATGCAATGCAATGCAATTCAATTCTCTTTACTCTTGCGTTCCTCAGACGATGCCCATAACTTACATTATGGAAACCCGTTAGTCCAGTTGCTATTTTCAATTTATGGCTTTGCCTATGGTCGACTTTTGTTAGAGGATATGAAGCATGGTACAAGGATCGAACTCCATTACGACGCTGCAAGAAGGCAGCTTCGATGTCTATTAAATGAACAAAACGTATGTCTTTGCATGTGTCCTTGCATGCATCCCTTTTACCGCCCTCCGTCAGAAATGTGCTTCGCCCCACACCTTTAGAAGAGGGTTGTTATCATCCTCCTATATTCTTTTGGGTAGTTCTTTCGTGCCTGGAGCTCAAAGTGTCAAGCCTCAAAGTGCTAGCTTTGCGTTGCTGGGAGAACGCATAGAGTAATGTTCATTTCACGTGAGAGGACTTCAGAAGCGTATGGCATTCCAAAGAATAAATGTCCCATGAGGGGCTTTTCGAAAAGATGTGTATATGTCTTGAAAGTTTGTTGGTAGCTCAGTCAGTTGGTTCACAAAATATTTCGAGTAACGAAAAGGAGTTTCGTTACTCACGCATGCCTTTCTAAGAGAATCCCAAAAGATGTTTCATGGGTAACGGGAAATACATCTTTAAGATGCTCAAAGGCAATCGCACATACTTTGGCTTACGTACTATCGCCTTAACACTTTCCTCACCGCAAAAGAAATTAGTACTCTCAGTTTTGGACTATGTTGAGAAGAAACTTTGTCGACTATATCCAGCTACTTTTCTGTATGGAACTTTTCCATTCAGCCGAAAGAGTCTGACCGCAAAGGAAGCTGGAATTTATTGGAAATTTATACCTCCCATCCATGACCTTTTCCGGGTGGATAGACATCCCCTCCTGCAGTTTGGGGTAGAAAGTACATCTTATAAAATTCTAGTATTTCAAATGTAATATTCTCGTCGTGAGAATTTCTGATTATGTCATTTACGGAAAGATTCGTAACCTCTTCTCGCTAACCATGTGAGCGATTACCACCTTCTGGACTGATGTGGCTTCGATCACGAATCTAGCAATTCTACGTTGTTTGCGCAAAGAACAAATGTTTGCAAGTCTGCTCTAGAATAAGTAAAATCTAACTTTTCAAAGGTATCGGGTGCCACCTTTTTTTTTTTAAATAATTCGGAAAGAGAATTTTTGAAATGAGTGTTCGCATGTTATGCGGCACGACATCTTCAGTAAATGAATCTATCAAATAGTGTAGGTCCTTGAGGATGACACTAGAAATGAACAGTGACTTCAAAACAACAATATTTCTAAAAGTGAGAGATGTGTGCTCATTGAGATCACAATGATTAGCATTTGTAGGGAGGCATAGTGGATCAAAGTTGGAGATTCATAATATCCATGAAATCTTTGAATAATTTGACTTTTTATCATTACGATACTTTCATAACTTTCTATCCAAATACAAGATCGTGTAAATCTGTATCTTTCCGTATCATTAAAAAAAAAAAAGGTGGCACCCGATACCTTTGAAAAGTTAGAATTTACTTATTCTAGAGCAGACTTGCAAACATTTGTTCTTTCCGCAAACCACGTAGAATTGCTATCAAAAGGAGAGATAAATAAGACAAATAATTTATCTCTTAAGATTCGAATATCTAAACATCAGTTTTATCTGTACCATTTGTAAACATTAAATTATTAGACATTTGTGATAAGGATTATTTTAAAACTTGATGTGTTGTGAAAGACAATAAAAATATTTATTTTGTGATTGTTTAATAATTTTTCATGTCTTAAAATTGAATGAAAATATGCTTAAATACCTCAAATGTTTATTAATTTATTTACCATGCTTTAAATATTTTTTCCATATTTTAATATAATGATTTTATATTTATATCCCTAAATAAATATTGAAAATGGATTTTTTCAAAATAGCATCAAAGATAAAAACTCTTTAACACTGTAACATAAGCAAAATGAAAAAAATTAGGAAAAAAATTGAAATATTGAAATTAAAATAATACGAACTTTCAAAAAAAACTTGAAGAACTTACATGTGTTTGTATGAATAATTACTGTAAAAAATCTTAAATATTTTTTGAAAAATAAGCCAAATTATTATTTTTCAAATATCCATTCAATTATAAAGTAAAACTAATATCAATGATAAAATATTTATTTTGATATTATGTCTACAATCAAATTATGTATAAAACTTATGTGTTTGTCTGAAGTTAATCCAAATCTTGATTAATATTGGCTATTTGAATCGTTATTAGTTTGTTCAGTAAATCAATTATTGTACATGAAAAATATTCAAATATGTAAGACAATGAGGATTTCAAGAAATTAGTTTTGTGTTTTATGAATATATTCACAACAAGTTAACCATATATTTTGTGAATCATCTTTTTTTCCCATTACATGTGACAATTTGTGAATTTTGTGTTCAAATTTTTGATTTGGTATTAGATTGTTAATTATTTCCTTTGTTGTTGGTCATGGTGTTGAGAAAAATTCAAGAGATCAAAAACGTGGGTGAACGGTGGGGGCAAGGTTGAGGAAGTAAAAAACGGTTGTATTTGAATGACCATCTCTATGTTCAATTTTGTTTGATTAATCACAAAAGTTTTAAATTCTTGTTTCAACAATTGCATTGGAAGTGTTTTAACTACAAATCTAGATAATCAACATAATGATAATGACATCTTTGTTCCTATTGTCATATGTGTCATATATATAAAACTTAGCAAACCACTTTAACACAAGAAAAATAACTTGTGTAGTTGAACATGTGAAATCATACTAGTTTAGCATTCATTAGCTCTTAAAATATTAGCATTTATTAGCTCTACAGTTATTACTACCCACTTTTTGGTACTCCGTACACAATATTAAAGAATGTTTGTACTTTGTACTATAGTCAGTGGTCGTGACACTTAATCACGACCAGCCGATGTATTGAGAAGATATTCTTGTGGAGACCATGAACGTATAACACTTCAGGTATTATCCGTTCTTGTCTATCATTCAAAGAAATGAGTACATTACCTTTTTCCTGAGTGAGTTGGTGACTGTCGTTGCCTAGATATACAAACTCCTTCGATGTTAGTTCACTATATGTCATAAAGGCATTTTTGTTGTATGTCATGTGTTCAATAGCACCAGAATTCACTTACCAGGCCGGATCCATCCTGATTGATGTTAGAGCAGTGACATACAACCGCTGGTGATTGTTTGGTGTAGAATGTGAAAAAGCGCTGTCGTGTTTCTTCTTCCGGCACTGGTTGGGAAGATGACCTTTCTTCTTGCAATAGAAGCATTTCATCCTTTGCCTGGGAAAAGATGGTTTGGCAGGAGGTTTTGATCTTAATGAAGTACCTGCCTCAGTGGAGTGTCTTGGATGCATCATCTTTGGTGTCTAGCCTCGTTTCTTTGCTGTGTAGAGTGTTGCCATTTCGTCGGTCAACTCTTCTTCTTCTTGGAGGTGTGATTTTTCAAGAACAACACTAGCAATAACATATTTAGTGATCAACGTTTGCTTTGTTCGCATGGAGTGCACAAGGAATCTATATTTGATGGGAAGACTTCGAAGGAGACAAGCATAAGCTTCTGCCTCTAAAATAGTCTGCCCAATAGATGCCAATTGGTGAAGAAGTAGACAAAACTTGGAGATATGTTTAGCTACCAACTCGCCTGACTTCATTTTGAGAGAATGCAATGCATGTATCAAGTGCATCTGCATTGGTACATCATGGGATTCAAAAAATGTATTCAGTTCAGCCCAGGCCTCTGCTGCTATAGAATGGCTAGCAATCAATGGATGTTGATGGTCTCTCAACGAGTTACTCAACACCGCCAAGAACATGAGATTTTTAACATCCCATTCCTTCTGCCTTGCGCCTGACTCTGAAGTTCTGGTTGTAGAACTCGGTGGAGTGGTTGGCCGAACTTCAGTCCCTTCCATCATGCCCATCAATCCTTGCATTCAAAAGATCAAACTAATCTTGCTCTTCCATGCATGGAAATGCTTATCATTGAATTTGGGAAGATATTTTCATGCAATTCGGGTTGAAGACCATGGAGAAGTCATCTTCCAAAACTCAAACTATCCTCTGTGTTGTGCCTCACGTTCTGCCGAAGTAAGTCTTCGAAAGTCTTTGAACTCTTAACTCTAAACCCTAAAGCTTTGATACCATATCACAAAGTAAATCAATGCATGAAAGGGTCAATACACAGATACTGAGTCCTCGAGAGAAGATCTTAATTGTTGGGGAGTGAACTCGGATGGGGGTAATATACCCAATCATGACAGTGGTCATCCGAGAGATACAGGACCCTAAACCCTAATGGACAGCGGCTGGTCGTGACTAAGTGTCACGATCACTGACTATAGTACAAAGTACAAATTTTTTTTAACATAGTGTACGGAGTACCAAGAAGTGGGTAGTAATACTTCTAGAGCTAATTTTGTAAATCCTTTGT